TAGATAGTTCGAACTAGCAAGCCATTCCGCACTATCTGTACGCCTCGTGTGCTGCGACCTCTTCTTTGTTTTTGTTACTTCTTTGTTTTTGTCTTTTTGTGTGTGAAAACAATTTTTTTTTTGAAGAACATTTCCATAGGTGTTTTGTGTGAAAAAATTATTATTGTTTGGTGTTCCATGGTTTCAAAAAGTTTAAGAAACACTGTTTTACTTTCTAACTTTTTTGTGCTGTAGAAGCAGATCTTAAAAGTAGCAGGCAGTGGGAGAAGGGGCAAAGTGTAATATTGATTTGTACAGAGTTGATAGAGTTGTACAAGGACTGAAGTTCATCTTCAAAGTCTTTATATCTGGCTCATTAAATAAGCAAATCTTGGTTATATGTTTTACCATCGTTTTCTCTTCTTTCAGGTGGTGGAAGAAAATGTGGACCCAGAAACAACTTTATTGACCTACTTGCGGAGGAAATGTATCCAATGTCAGGAAAGCTTGTATAAGGTTTTCAATAGTTATGACATTCCACCGTTGTTTACTGTTGCTATCCATCTATCAAACTCTAACCAGGCAGTGTGTTGGGGAAAGAGAGGGGAGCAGGAGAAGAACAGTATGCGGGTTGCTCTTATTTGGACTGTGAGTTCATCAGCTCATCTAAGTTAAGCAGCATCAAATCTAGATAGTTCTTGGAAGGGGGCCTCTGATAATTGCTAATGATTCAGGATACGACATGGAGGCAGATTCGTACAAAAGAAGAAGCCTACAAAATTGAGTGAATGGTTCGTTTCTGGTCACATGTAAACTGTGCAGCAATTTCCTCACTTTTACAAATTAAGGCTTTTTCCATTTCTATTTTAGTACATCAAAGCTATTTGTGCAAAGAGATTCCTCCCTTGGACTCAGTGTCTCTATATAAAGCTGTGCTTTGAGTGTATTTCCATGACTAATCTGTGTTCTGCTGTAGCCGATGCATGGTTGTACAAAGACGATCAGTTTCACGTTAATTCCAAAGAGAACTTCCAATACATTAGTATAAAAGGGCCCAAGCCTGCTCCCATTCAAGTCCATTTGCCACAGACTTCGGAAGTGGAGGGACAAGCCTAAACTGATTATCTCAGCGTAGCCATATATTTACTCTAACCAAACCTGGCTTCTCTGTGAGAATCAGTTCAGTTTCTCTCTGCAGGGCTTGGTCCCATTTGCAAGAAACAGTGATAAATAATAATATAGGATGTTGGCCTAGCACCTCTCCTCCTAGCAATATCCGAAAGTTTGTCTTTTAGCAGGCATCTGGTAAATGGAGATGATTTGAGGATGATGTGAAAAGCCCTAATATGGGCATTTTCCTGGCTAAAAATGATGGGATTTGCTGCTGCGAATTCTCTCTGCAAAAAACGCCATTTGAGGTCAGTAAGGCTATTGCTATTATGCTTCTGTATTTTCCTTAACCCTTGTTCTCTTAGTGGGGCTCCATGGAACCAAGCTAGGTTGTGGAGAAGGTGGATGTGGTGCTTGTACTGTTATGATATCCAAGTATGACAACTTCCAGAAGAAAATTGTGTATCCTTTGCAAACTGAACAAGGAAACTGAGGTGGAAGTGAAAATAGCAATCAATCCAGGTTGTTGCCTTTGGGATGTATCATTTTTTTAATTAAAGAAATGTTGTTATATAATGTTCTGTGTCTGCTGAAGACTCAATCCCCATTTAAGGAGTAAATTCAGCAGATACTAGAAGTTATTTCCTCCAATGGTATTGTAATTGCTTATGGAGATTTTACATCTTGCCTTGGAGCATGTGCATGTGACAGACTAGATGATAGTTTAGATGGTCTTTCATGATAGGATAGTCTTTATGACCCTAAAATAGCAGTCTCTTGTTGCAATGAAGCCCAGCTTTTAGCCTGGCAAAAATAAAATAACAATTGCCCTGCTATTACATTTCTGGAATCATCTGGCTTCTGTGTGTCTGTCAATATCATCACTGTATCTGTAAAATAATGTAATCTGCAAAACAGTTCTTTCTGCTTGGCACATGGCTATGTTGTTCTCAGTTCTTGACTGTTTTTGGAGCTAAAAAATGAAAATACACAAGAAGTTGTCAAATACTGATTATTCTGTTCGTGGGGAATGTCAAAACCTTCAAATAGTGAAAATGCCATAAGTATTGAACAATAGATTGCTGAACATCTCTAGTGAGGAAATCACTTTTTGGTCATTCTCAGAAGGTAACACAGGCTACATCTAAACTACAAGCCTCTTTTGAAAGAGGCTTTTTTGAAAGAATCTTTCTAAAAAGCCTTTTTCAAAAGAGAGTGTCTAGACTACAAGCAGATTTTTTCAAAAAAGTGAGCCGCTTTTTCGAAAGAGAGTCTAGACACTGTCTTTTGAAAAAGCAGAGTTTGCATTCAATAGCACCTTTTTTCGAAAGAGTACTTTAGAAAAAAGGCATTATTCCTCGTAAAATGAGGTTTATCGCGATCGAAAAAACTGCCGTGTTCTTTCGATTTACTTTCGAAAGAACGCATCTGCAGTCTAGACGCAGGTGAAGTTTTTTCGAAAAAAGGCTACTTTTTCGAGAAAACCCTGTAGTCTACACACCCCAAGAGAAGGAAATGTATGTGTCTCGGTAATAAATTCCTTGAATCATTCTGTCCCCTAGCAGCCGGAATATTTATTTTTAGGGCTATCCCAGCTGTAGCGATTATGAAAACTAATTATGAGGATACTGAGTTCTGGATACTTTGTCCTACGGATGTCAGCTTGTAGTCGACTATATGATTAACCATTAAGCCTAGGCTTATTGGTTAATCTTGTCGACTACATGCACTCCTCCCCCTTGCTGCCTCTATATCAGATGCAGCAAGAGCGGGAGGGGAGCAAGAGCTGGTGTCTGTGAGGTTCTGGCTTTTAGCAGGCTCCCCATGAGCACCGGATCTGCCTGTCCCCTAACTCCCACAGCAGAGGGTGAAGGGGGCAGGCAGGAGCTGATACGTGCAGGGACCCAGCATTCAAGTAGGCTCCTTGTGGTGTGCTGACTCCGTGAAACTGCCTGCCCCACTTGCTGCCTCCTACAGAGGCAGCAAGGGGGGGTAGGCAGGAGCTGGTCCTGGGGGAAGCTGTCTTAAAAGCTGGTCCCCCCCAGTATCAGCTCCGCAGTGCCACTTGTCTCCCCTGCTTACTTCTTCCCCTCCCCCCCACCGGCATCCCACGGAACAGCCTCTGCCTATGGCAAGCCTGGGCCCACTGTGGACAGAGGCTGTCACCATGGCAGTGCAGTGAGCAGCAAAAAGTGCACTAAGGGTACGTCTAGACTACATGCCTCTGGCGACATCCCAGGAGGCATACCTGGGTTGTCGACAACTCCCTTTGATGTCGGCAGGGGAGCGTCCAGACTATCGCGCTGAGCCGACAAACAGCTGATCAGCTGTTTGTCGGCTCAACGCGGCAGCCATGTAAATTTAAATGAAGCGGCGATTATTTAAATCGCCGCTTCATTTTACTCTGTCGGGTAGCCTAATCTACATGCCTCTGTCGCCAGAGGCATGTAGTCTAGACGTACCCTAAGAAAGTTCCACCTGGCCCTGCCCATCCAGGGAAGAAGGCCTAGTTATACCCCTGGGAGTTTCAGGCTTCACAAGGGCTCTGCTTTGTCTATTCTGTCACAGGCAGCATTGCCCATTTATCGTACCCAGATTGGCTGGAATTGCAGGATCAGCGGCTGCAAAGCGGGTGGTGAGCATGGCTGGCAAATGATTTTACAAATGGAGCGACCTTATACTCTGTCAATGCTTGTCTCTTCCCAATCTGCGCACTGCACCATGTAGCAGTCACTACTGTTGAAGGCATAGGAAGCTCAAAGACGAGGTTGCATCCGGTCCAGGTGAGCTGTCTCTGCTATTAAATCTTAGGATTTAAGCTGTGGCAGGCCTCTTTTGTAGCCTCACCCTCTTAGCCCAGGGATCTAACACTTGTGGAGCTACTGCTTTCTGCTGACTCCTTGTGGGCACATGTGGCTTGTTAGCTTGACCCTGGCTGTAAGGGACATTGGGATAATACTATTTCCTTGCTTCACAGGGGCATTGCTGAGGATTAATTCCATAGCATTTCCAAAGGGCTCTGGAAATTGTGAGAGAAATGCGAAGTGTTACTATTACACATTGCAGATACTACAGTGCAGTGTTTGGAGGTGTTAATTGTTTCATCATTGGCAGAAATGCTGCCCTTGAGATGGAAATTCAGTCTGCACATCCATAGCACTTTGTGTAGCTTCTTTCCATGATGATCCACAACAAAGAGAGACCACTTGGACCTAGAGTGACACGGGTGGGTGAGAAATGCGAAGTGTTACTATTACACATTGCAGATACTACAGTGCAGTGTTTGGAGGTGTTAATTGTTTCATCATTGGCAGAAATGCTGCCCTTGAGATGGAAATTCAGTCTGCACATCCATAGCACTTTGTGTAGCTTCTTTCCATGATGATCCACAACAAAGAGAGACCACTTGGACCTAGAGTGACACGGGTGGGTGGGTCCACATCAGCTTTGAGAGAAAAGAGTTTGAAATCCAAAGGCACATCTGAGTCTTATCCATAGCTCCTATCATTATGATGGAGCAAATGAAAACTCAATTACACCTGAGACTCAAATACCCCTGGGGTGAAATCCTGGCCTCAAAGAATTCTATGGCAAAACCCTCATCAATTTCCATAGGTCAGATCCCAATTTTGCAGTATGAATTCATTTTGTGAGTCTGCTTGAAATCTGTCTGTATGGACTAACTCCTTGGGAAGAGCCTGCCCAGAGAAGCAAAGAAATACTGACCTAGTGAAGTGAGGAAGTCCATGTAGTCCTGTTCACAAGAGCTGTTTGTTTTGTTGCTTTTTCATCTCAGGAGAGAATAGCAAAAAGCCATGGATCCCAGTGTGGCTTTTGCACTCCTGGCATTGTCATGTCCATGTATGCATTACTTCGCAACAGACCTAACCCAGTAATGGAGGAGATCGAAGAGAATTTCCAAGGTAATGCCTGTTCCAAAACAGGTTTGCAAGCAAGCCCCTTGTGCACTGTTTTTTTTTTTTTGGCAGGAGGGGGAGAAGGACTACATTTCCCTCCTCTTTGAAATGGTCAAATACTATCTGAGTAAAACCCAGATTCTCCAGAATAAGAGAATCACTTTACTTAGCTGTGTGTGTGTGTGTGTGTGTGTGTGTGTGTGTGTGTGTGTGTTTGTGTGTGTGTGTGCATGTGCAAGAGAGAGAGAGAGAGATTTTGGTCAGAAATAGCCAGGGAAGAATTCCCATTGTTATTGTTAATTATCTTCATTACAGTAGTGCAGGCCATATATCAGAGCCCTATTGTGCTAGCTAGGTGGTATACAAATACAGAACAAAATGGTGGTTTCTGAACTAGAGAGCTTACAAACTAAATAAGTCACCAAAGGTATGTCAAGACTACATGGCTCTGTCGACGGAACAATGTAAAGTACTTCACTCGACATAGTCAATGAAGCGGTGATTTAAATAATCCCTGCTTCATTAAAATTAAAATGGCCGCTGCGCTGTGCTGACAGTCAGTTGATCCAGCACAGCATGGCAGTCTAGACATGGAGCAGTCAACAAGGGAAACCTTTGTTGACTGCTCCAGTAAACCTCGTTTCACGAGGCATACTGGAGCAGTCGACAAAGGCTTCCCTTGTTGACCGATCTGGGTCTAGACTGTCGCACTGTGCCAGATCAGCTGATTGTTGGTACAGTGCGGTGGCCATTTTTATTTTAATGAAGCAGGGATTATTTAAATCACCGCTTCATTGACTATGTCGAGTGAAGTACTTTACATTGTTCCGTCGACAGAGTGGGCAACCTCTTGCTGGCACCAAGCCAATGGAGATGACAGAACTGGCTTCCACACTAAACACCAGCCCTGGTGTAGGGGTGTGCCATGGGTTGGGGATCTGGAAGAGCAAAAGTGGCATTATGCCAATTCTTCTCTTGTGTAGGTTAGAGCAGTCTCTTGGCTGCTGTAACTAATGCTGGGACTGGGCTGGAACTGGAACCAGTGGCGACCCTGCTGAAGAGAGGTCAGCCCCAAGAGAGAAATGAGCTGTGTGTTGCTCCAGGCATTATATAATTGGCATGTGTTATCAAGGCCACTGATTGCTAAATAGAGATGGCTGAAATTTTTGAAATGTCAGTGAAAATTTTCATTGCAATTTTGAATTTCCACATGAAGATGTGAGTGGTGGTTTCTGTGCAGAAATATACCCCCAATTTCATGCCCCCACAGTTTTTGATCAGCCGTGTCCCCACACAATCAGCCTCCCATGTGTGCACAGAAATTGTTGATGGAAAGACTCTTAGCCTGTATCACTTTGCTTTTACCATGCAGGAAATTTGTGTCGCTGTACAGGATACAGACCCATTGTGCAGGGATACAGGACATTTGCTAAAGTAAGTGGCTTAAGATAATATTACACGTTTCTGGAAAGCATTCAGCAGGCTGACTTGCTCAACTGTGGAATCAATACACCCTTGGGCTGGAGAAAAAGGAAATACGCTTGCCAGCCAACCCTCCCTCATGTCCCAATCAATCCTAAACAGAGCCCTGGCTCCTGTCAATATATGTGTTACATGTTGCTAACATGACCAGACCTACTCATAAATGGCAATTGCTCAGGTAGGCTCCCTTTAATAACTAGGATGCTCCATGTGGTGGTCCTATGTCAGGTTACTAGTCAGCAGCCTCTTTTTTTTTTTACATTGCTTTTGCTTAGACTCTTAAAAGTACTGCATCTCACCAAACAAAGCAGCTCCCAGATCCCCCAGGGAAAAGTGTGGGTAGGGAAAAGTGCATAACAGCAAGGTTTGAGTAAGGACGGATGCATTACTCAGGACATACCAGTGCAGAGCCCCATTGGGCAGCAATTACTCCTAAGAAAGACAACTGCAAAACTAAAATGACAAAGGAGGTTAAGTTGAGCTCTCTAGGGATATTAAATTCAGTGTGATCAGCTAACCGAGTAGTCAATGGAATTTCCATTGACTACTCAATAAGTTGATAAGTGGGGAAACTGCAGAGCTGCAGCGGGGTTAGCTCCCAACCCTAGGCACTAACCCCACTGCATCTCTGCCTTTTAAATATATTAAGAGCTGCCAGGCTCTTAATACATTTAAAAGGTAGAGGTGTAGCGGGGGGACGGGTGTGAGCCAGGTGTAGCGGGGGGACGGGTGTGTCCCTGCTGTCTCCCTGGCTCCTCCACTGTGCCTCTGCATTTTAAATGTATTAAGAGCTTGTCCGGTAGTCGGCTAGTCCTTTACATCCCTAGAGCTGTCATCACTGAATATACACATGCCGTACCCACGTGCTCCCCAGGTTGGGTGGGGCATTAAGCACAGCCGTCCATTTGTTACTTAATCTTTTAAAACAAGTCTCCTCCGAGGGTTACCTGGAGAAGTGGGAAGTGATTAGTGCAAGGGATGTACCTTAGATGGGAAGTGAGCACTAAGATATAAAGCAATGAACTAGAATGATGTGCATCAATATTTTTCTGTGTAATGTCTGAAATTAAAGAGAGGAAAATATGGGTAGCTGTGAAATCCATTAGACTTGGGAGCAAAATCCAAAAGGAGATGGAGAAAGCACCACTACTTGACTTCTTTAAAACTTAAATAGACATAAAATATGCTATAAGGGGCCATCGGACCCACTGATGAAGGGAGAGATGTAATTATTTGGCATCTTCCATCTCCAATGTCTCTGTTTCTATGATAGAAATTATAAATGGGAGAGCATTTTCCTTTGCAAGTAGATGAAATTTATTTAGCCTGCTTGAAATCTACAGATTTTTCTCTAAGAAGTTTTTTGCCTGTGTAGGACTGGTGTTGCTGTGGGAAAGGAATTAATGGCCCAGGCTGCTGTAAGACTGGAAAAAGCGAAGGTTGTTGTGGTGGGAAAGCCAGTGGCCAGGGTTGCTGCATGAATGAGAAAGAAGACAATGCGGTAAGACCTTGCCACACCTTCATTTTTTCTCCTCCTCTTTCTTTTCTCTATCCTTTGTTAGCACTTCGTAGTTCATTTTTTGTTTTGTAGGTGCCAAAGCCTGGCTCTTCTGATTTTATCCAAGCAAAGCACCTTAGACTGAGGTCTTGTCTACACTTAAAGGGCTACAGCATCTCTGCAGTAGCACCTCAGTGTAGACACTACCTATCAGCGGGGTGGTTCTCCCTTCAACATGTGTAATCCACCTCTCTGAGAGGTGGTAGCAAGTTTGATGGAAGAATTTTTCTGTTGACCTAGTGCTGTCTACACAGGGATTCCGGTCAGCTTAACAACACTGCTCAGAGTGTGGATTTTTTACACCCTGATTGATTTAGTTAAACTGACCTAATTTTCCAGTGTAGACCAGGCTTCACTTTGCTTTTATGTAATCCGTGCTCAGGCAAATCTACCACTGATTCTGTTCAATTATCCCAGTCTAGCACTGCTAGAAGGGAGACTGGGATAAATCCCTGTGTGTTTATCCAGGCCAACTCCTGAATAAGAGAGAGAAATAGAAGTGGAGAGCTCAAGATCTGGGCCATTGTTTCATCTGTCTGTGTTGTTCCGCTCTGTTAGTTGTACTGTTGATCATTTAACAAAACAATGACAAGCATTTGGGTCAGAAAGGAAAAAGGAACCGGGGTTAAACCTGGGCAGAGTTAAGTCCTCTTGTTCTAAGACAAGAAGCACACCAACCAACAGCAATATTTGGGGTCAGGAAGGAATTTTCCTCCAGGGTAGATTGGCAGAGGCCCTGGAGGTTTTTCACCTTCCTCTGTAGCATGGGGCACGGGTCACTTGCAGGAGGATTCTCTGTATCTTGGGGTCTTTAAACCATCGTTTGAGGACTTCAATATCTGAGATATAGGTGAGTAGTGGGTGAAATTCTGTGGCCTGCATTGTGCAGGGGGTCAGACTAGATGATCATAATGGTCCCTTCTGACCTTAAAGTCTACGAGTCTATGCTTTGTTTTACAGGCCATGGTGTCCTCCATCTTGTTCAACCCAGCTGAGTTCCAGCCTTTGGATCCCACTCAGGAGCCTATCTTCCCTCCAGAGTTGTTGGTAGGTGCCTCCATGCAGCAGTGCAAGGCAGCTCGTTGGCCTGGTTCTCTCTTCCAGGGTTTGAGTGCCGTTGCGGTTCTGGCGCAAAAGACAGACACCAATAAAACAAGACCCTGTGGCTGACCCACAGCAGGCATTGGCATTCCAGCCTTTCCTAGAAGAGCCAGGCCAGGAGAGGCTTTCCATGGGATATGCAGGATAAGCTCAATCGGTGCATCCCCCAGCTGCCCTGGCTATGCCACTGTCCGGTCAGCACTTCTCAGGGCTTGTCTACACTGCTGCTTTCCTGCGCTGTAAACGTCTCGCTCAGGGGTGTGAAAAGACACCCCCATGAGCGCAGCAAGTGACAGTGCTGTAAAGCGCCTGTGTGAACAGGTTCCCAGTGCTGTTACTCACTCCCCTTGTGGAGGCAGTTTCCCTGCCAGGCTGGGAAAGCTCCACTCAGCGCTGCTGCTGTGATCACACTGCTGTGGCAGTGCTTTAAACTTGGAAGTGTAGACAAAGCCTCATCATTTTCAGAGTGCTCTGGCTTCCTCTTCAAGCGTTCCCTACTACCCTGTGAAGAGGCAATTATGGAGGCTTGTGCCCCCGCAGTCTCTGTCTGGGCAGACTTTGTACTCGCAGATGCCCTCCACACAGATTGTATCATCCTCGCCCAGGTTTTGGTCAGCCAGGGGCATGTGTTCTCCACGTCCCTGTACATTTAACGAATCACCCTTAAAATCAATTGTTAATTCTCTGGCTGCTGGTAGTGCTCCCTGACTCAACCCAACATTAGTTTGTGTGCTGGGGGTCCCTCACACTGAGTTTGTTTATGCCAACACCAGCTCTCTCTATTTCACTTGTAAGAAGTTCCTATGTTATTGGAGGGCAGCGACATTGGGCTGACTCCTCTAGTTTCTTCTTCCTAAGAAGCAGCAGTCACAGAGAACTGGCAAAACCAAAGTCAGGGCAGGGATTCTGCGTGGAAGCATTTCCCCATCAGAGTCCATCCTATTTTATTTTCTCAGATGCAGAAAAACAAACCCCTGGAACAGCTGTGCTTCAGAGGTGAGCGTGTGATGTGGCTACAGCCAGCAACCCTTGAGGAGCTGCTGACGCTCAAGGCCCAGTACCCTGCTGCCAAGCTCGTTGTGGGGAACACAGAAGTTGGTAAGAAGGTAGAGCTGAGGCTCAGCTGGAGAAGCTGCTAAAATTATCCACAGAAGGGTTTTTCCAAGCACAGCACAAGACCAGTTTGGATTTCCTTGAAACAGTCCCAGTCAAACACCCACGGAAGTGGTTTCTAGAGGGCAAGTCAGGGAAGCTTTTACTTCCTCTTTCCTGGATCAGTCTCACAAAGATCCTTTGGCCTGTTTGTTGTGGCAAGCTGAAGAAGTGCAAATTTGTTCTAAGTTAGTGCCAGGTATTGATGACACCTTAAGGACTAACCAGTTTATCAGGGCCTACGTTCTTGTGAGATGCAACTCACATCCTCGGATGCTTGAAGCAAAAGAAAGACAGAGATACAGAGATGGGAGTGTAACATCACCTTCAGATACTCTCATTGTTGCATGTGAGCCACATCTCCCTGATTTAATTAGCACTGATGTTAAACTCCCATCTCTGTATCCCTGCCTTTTTTCACTTCAAGCATCTGAGGATGTGAGTTGTATCTCATGAAAGCTTATGCCCTACTAAATTGGTTAGTCTTCAAGGCACCACCGGACTCCTTGCTTTTTTCTGAAACAGACTGACAGTCTACTTCTCTGAAAGTTATCGATGGGATATTGACAAGAAGAGGCACACAGATACAAAACAGACTGCTTTGTTTTCAGAGAAAGGGAAGAGAGACACTGACAAAGGATTAATCCTGGTGTGTCCAATCCTGAAACTTTCAATCATTTGTCTGAAGTTGTCCAGGAGCTGCATAAATCTCTTAGGATGTTCAGGTTTGCACTGCAGCACTCTCAAACATTTTTGGTTTTGCAGCGGGT